AAGGATGCAGAGGAAGCAGCATTATTGGATCAAGAAAACCATCAAGAAATCGTCAATGAAATAGAAGAGTTTTTAAAGTTTCGAAAACAAGAAGACAAGGAGGACAAGGAAGAAAAAGAAGAAAAAACTAAAAAAAATGGCACTAAAAGGAAGCGGAAAGATGAAGATACAATCCCAATTAATATTTTGAAAGAAGTTTTCCTACGCATTTACTATCCTATCTCACTATGTTTGGGTAAAAGTGTAACAGCTGGACTAATGAAATCTTCGGAATATACACCTACAGTAATCTTGCAGCATGGTACAAAAATGGTTATATTTTCTGAAACGGCATGGGAATCTTTTCTAAAACATTTAAATCTAATTGAATGTTACTTAAATACTAATGTTTGCGGAAGGAAAACTAATATTCGACTTTTAGATTCTGACAATGAAATTGACATAGTAAAGAATCGTGGAACACTACAAGTACGATTTAGAGATTTAACTCAACATGAAAGTAAAATTTTACTCTCACGTGAAGAATTCTACATTTTAATGCATGCAACGTCTCCTATCTCTAGATATATGAAACAACTTGTATTCTCAAGTTCAATCATCAAAGAGTATTTAATTGATACACTGGAAAAACAACCGGAAAGCACCATATTATACGGACACGTGGATACATCTATTTTTAATAGATTGCCTCATGAAGTTGGTATGTGGAGACAGTTAAGGAACTTCGAATCAATTGATGAAGAAGCGATAGAAGCGATAGAAGCTGTTGAAGAATATGAAACTATAAACCAAGAAGAACCAGCAACCCAAGAAGTGTAATTAAAGAAAAACAGTATAAAAGAGTGACCAAGGCGCGGTGTGAATTCAGTTGAACACTATACGTGGTGGTGTGTAGATAGGGTTAAACATTATGGATATAAAACCCTGTGTAATAGAATTTCAAGCATTTCGTGATAACAAAGATGAATTTGTGATAAAAGAATTAGTGATTTTAGATTTGATTACACATGTCGTATACCCGTTTATATTTGAAGCTCCATTTTCAGTAAACCAATTGAATGACAAAGCAAGAAGAACAAACAAATGGATAACCAAACATTTTCACCATATTCAGTGGAACGAAGGATTGATAAGCTATAAGCACTTGAACAATATCATGTATCATTTTTCTAACAAGTTTTCCCATATTTATACAAGAGGATCGGAAAAAAGACAATGGATACAACAATATACATATCACGATGTTTTCGACATAAGAATGGACAAGGATCATCAAATTAATTATGGACCTATTTGTACTTTAACAGATCACTCTTATCGCACAGTAACACAATGTGCACTACAAAACGCATACCGATTAGCTAATTTTCTAGTTCTTCACTATTGGGACAAAAATAAATTCAAACAGCAACAGTGGAAGTATTACGAAGGAAATAGCAGTGGAGGGGGGAACGTGTGCTATAAATACAGTGGACAGTCTCAGGATCCTCATCAGTATTACTCCAGACATCGCAGAGGCAACATCTCACAGGGTAGTCCTAATCAAGAAAATGGCTTCACAACAGTTTCTCCAGTCTTTGGTGGATCAGTTCAACACCCAGTCCAAATCCAGCATTCTAAGTACTAAGAAATGTCACGAATTGAAGGAACACAAACACTACATCGTTCACGAGCTGAAGAAGACAGAAACTTCACATGGAGACGCAATTTTAGCATCACTGAGCGAGGCACCGTTTTCACCAGGTGATGAACCGAAATTTCAAGTTTATCTTCCAAGACGATTTGTACAGCAACTACAAAACGAAGACCTGCGAGGTATTCAACCAGGATCCCTCTATTTGGTATCACACGGAGTTTGCGGAAACAATTCCACTGAACTATCTCTACACATCACCCATCAATGTTAGTTTTAAGTTTTTTTCTGTAAATAACCATCTATGTACATATGTTTGTTAAATGTTTTTGTCATTAAAAAAAATAAATAAAAAAATTAAAAGAGGAAACAACATATCAGCATATAATTAATTCTATATGCTGATATGTTGTTTCTTTTTTTAAAATTCAAACAAATGACCTTGAACTTTTTTACTATAAATAACAGGTCTTACACGCAGTTGCTCTCAGTCTTGTTTTAACAATTCACCGAGCATCATGTCACAGCGTAAATACAATTTACCTTTTGTTTACAAATCCAAATACGATTTGGATAACTATTGTTGTAATTTAAAATGTTTTAGAAAGCCTGAAAGTAAAGTTGATGGAAAAGCTTGTAAAAAATGTGAGTCTGTTGGCTATTGCAAATGTAGGTGTAAAACATATCAAGACAAGCATCAAAATTACATACACGATCTAACACAAATGGTTAACCTACTATGGAAAAATGTAGACTAACTTGTGACAGATGCATGAGAGCTGCTGACTCTTGCACTATAAATAGCAGCTCACAACACATTGCTTTTCATTCTTGTTTTAGAATTCAGTCGAGCAACATGTCACAGTGTAATTCCAATTCATCTTTTGATCCCAAATCGGAATACGATTTAAAATACTATTGTTGTAATCTAAAGTGTTTCAAAACACCTGAATGTCAAGTAGATGGAATGGCTTGTAAAAAATGTGAATCGTTCTCCTATTGTCAATGTAATTGTAAAACGTATCAAGAAAAACGGAAACATCACTCACAAGACAAGGGACGTAGAATCAAAATACTTTTAAAACGGATGGAATGATGCCCTCATGATGCTCTCCCCCACCTCTACTACTTTCCCCCACCTCTACTGCTTTAGCTCCGCCCACTTCGTCAGGGACCTGCACTTCTTTACACGCAACAGTCACTTCGCATCCAGCTCTTCACCAGTCAACTCAACCTTTCTCGTTTACTTTGCACAAGATGGCCAACCTACAACAACAACAACAACAACAACAACAGTGGACAAGTGATATTGAAGACTCTGACCTACACCAAGCATGCATCGAAGCAGAAGAGCAGGAGCGAAAACGAAAGGAAAAAAAACTACTTCAACTGCTAGAGGAGGAGAAAGAGATTCGACGCAAATTTGATCGTGTTTGGTGCGCTCAGCCTCGAGACAACATCGAATGGGCCGAGCACAATGCAGACATGGCAAGATGGAAAGAGCTCCATAATACAATAGAGGAGTTGAAGAAGTAAACATCCAAGTACACAAGCGTCGCCGAACTACACAAAACGGCCTTTATAAAGGCCACCAATAAACTCATTCGTTTTACACTTTAGCAGACGCTCACTCTAGATACGTACGTTCGCACATGTTTTCCTTATTAATTGTAATAGTATGTAAGTTATTGTCATCCCTCATGTTTTATACAAATAAACAATAAACAAAACAAGGAAGCTATCCTACACTACAAGTGTAGAATAGCTTCCTTTTTTTAAAACACAAACCTATGACCTTGAAAACCATATGATCACCCTCATACACCCCCCCCCCCCCCAATTACACATCACCTATGACGTCACAAAGTGACGTAGCACCGGAAGCAACCATTTCCGCCTGATGGGCTTTAAACTCAATTAATTCACCCCACCTGCCCTGACAGGTGGTGTGATAGGAGTGACCTTAGGCTACTACTTATCCAATATAATATTATAAATGTTTTGGTTACGACGATTGTATTCTAGCCACACTGCACACTTCAGTCATAAGACGGAAACGAATAACCATTTCCTGTCCTCATAACCGATAACGTTATTTTCTCGTGCGGTCTTAAAACTTGAAAGTGATAAAGTTTTCTCATTGTGCCTACCATAACCAGAATATTATAGTTCATTAATTGTTTTGAACTAAAAACAGTGATCATGTTGCTTTCAAACTTGTAGACGATTTCAAATTAAGGATTTGAAATGTAAAGGAAATATAATGTGCATTTTTGCACAAGATACCGGTACCTATATAATTACTTATGAAAACACTTTAGTGTTTTTTTAAGGAACCCCTCGTTAATATATCAATAATATATCAAGTGGTTTGAACTATTATGGCATATATTTGGCATATATAAACAATAATGAGTTCCAATCAACAAGTTAACATGCTACTTCGATTAGTAAACCTTCATTCCATTTTTTCATAATCAGCAAGTTTGGTTTGGTTAGGTTAGGTTATAATAGTTAGTTTAATTCCATCCCTCAAACAAGTTTTGCTCATCATGCCCTCCCCCTGGCCGATTTTTCCACCCCCATACCTGCCGAACCGTGGAACCGGTCACTGATACCTGGCTGGCATTCGCAACCGACAAGCCCCAGGATGTAAAATGTCCCTCGTCAAAGTGTTTAGGCTATTGGAACTCAGCCCTGCACTCTTTCTTAAAATTAGTTGTAGATTTGCATGAGATTATGATTTGAATATTAATTTACATAAAAACACTGAATATCTATGGATTTCTGGTAAAAGACATATAATAAAGCACCAAAGTTTTGTAGCTTTTCTAATGTTAAGAGACTGACAATATTTCTGGGCGTATGTTTGGAAACTAGGATACGATCGATTACGAGCATATAATATAAATCTATACCATAGCTAAATTGTAATAGTAAAAAACTACAATAGCTCTTTATGTAAAATAATTGATAAAGAAATTATTAACTATGCAGTTTTACAATATAAAAGTAAATTGTATTTTTAATTAGTGGTTGAGTTAGTCTCGTTCATAGTTTGAATTTAATATGTTCAACAAACTAAATACCGCAAAACAAATTTCTGTAAAATAATATCTCTTGCATGCTTAAATTAAATGGAATTACTATTTAATGTAAAAATAAATAATTGAAGTGAAAAATAAAATATATATTTACAAAGGATTACGTTTTAATATTGTAAATATTTTAGTAAGTATCATTCAAATATCAACGTAAACGAATCTAACATTAACTTAATTTACAAATTCATCGGGGTAAGACGGTGGCTGTAGGTATATTTAGTGTTAAAACGCCAGAGTTGGCATCACTGGATACTCTGGTTGCTGGGCAACCCTGGTTCAGTGGGTGTTGTGACAGCGTGAGTGTTGGTATCACTGAATTGTCTGCTATCATACGGCATATGGACATCGGCTGCATACAAATTCTTCCCTGTTTACATAGTAAGTTCCAATTTTGACGAGTGGTATAAATAGCGTAGGTTAACTTTATAAATGTCTTTTGAAAAAACTAACTGTCATACTTTTATTATTTACTCAGTATAACAAGTATGGTTGCGTAAATTATATTTTTAACTTAAGCATAATCATGTGGGTATTAATTTATTTTTATTTACTGTTTTTGCTGAATTTGGTTTAACGAGTAACAATACATTAACAAATGCAGTTTTTGAAACGGTCTACTTCACATAGTGATATATATCTGTCTATACTGATTTCGAAATTTCAAAGTACCTATTCTACCATCGGTAAAATGTTCCAAACAAATAACACCGTACACTATCTTATCTTATATTTTAGCAGATATACAGAACGTTTTTCTCAACTGAATGTTAAACACTTATTTACAAACGTTCTATTAAAATTAAACACAGCCTTTATGTATCATTATTGGTATCACGCAAGTACAGGATTGTAAAGTATTAGTATTGTGTCGTGAACAAAGCGTTGAAGTTTATTATTCCTCCCAAAATGAACACCTGAGGACCGAGAAATTTAGAAAATATATAAACTTTTCTAAAACATAAATTAGGTCGCAGCCATATTGATTTGTTATATTTGGTATATTACCCTCAATGTTAATTTGCCGACTAACAAGGTACTCCAACCAAAGGTCTTATTAGAGCTGAATGCCCTCAAACGTCTCTGAACCAGTCGTACTTCTGTATTGTGTAATTCATATCGAACGTTTCCATTGTGAGAGAATAAGTTTCCTCAGTAATCATAACGTTTAATGATTGCCTCAATAATTTCATACTTGGTTGACATTTTTGGAAGCAGCTTCTATGATATTGTCAATGTGTATACATAAAAAGAAATTATGAATATTTCGCTTGTGAATAAGAAAAAATCCTACAACGTTAATATTTTATGGTTGAGGGAGTTTTTTTCTATAAAAATTTAAAATCTGTAAAACAAAATCTCCTGAACCACGAAGATGCGAACAATTAATTCTGAAAATCCTTATCAATCCTGCCTTTAGTCTCGATAACTATTCTGGAAAGTAAATATGGACGAATTCACAGAACTCCGTGTTTTTTTCAAATGCTTTTTCATCAAACAATTTGAAAGTAATTGGCTTTCTACCTGTCAACACTTTTCAATTCAGAGCCCTAACTTTAAGCCAATCCTATGATAAACGTTTTGTTGTCAACGATGAAACCAGCTATTCCGATATACACCAATATACATGGAGTAATTAGTATACTAATGTAGTTTAGTCTGTTCCCTAAAAAATAGGCAATAAACCCAAATAGTGTATGAAAATGTGCAAAGGAAAAATACTGCTAAATACGGTCAAATTCTTCATGTAAAATGTAGTAGATTGGTCAGTAGATACACGTCAACATGTAAAATTAAATCATCAGTTATTATATTGAGTAAAAATAAAAATCTCTTGTTTATATAGGCCTAGTTTCATCAAATGTGGATTCGATAATTGCAACATTTCTCTGCAAAAAAAATTATGAGTACTAGATCCGATAAAAACTGGGTAATTGTAATTGTGGGTTGTTGTCTTGTTATATACTTTTAAAATCAGTTACAAAAATGTTCTATGTGTTTGGTTTTACTCTGTACAACATTACTGACAATTACTTGCGAGAAAGTGTATGAAGTTTGACCTTTCTCGCGAGATGAGCTTTTATCGTAGAGCACGAGAAAGTAGGCATTGGGGAATTGGAATTCTTTATCGCGCCACTTCATACATATTTATGTAATCATTTGTTTCTGTGGTACCAAACTGTACCGTATATAGAATATACTTATAGTAATATACCTAATAACAATATAACGCTACGGTATACTGTACGAGATTTAAAAATATACTAGCAGCAACACACATGACGGATACAAAAGTTAATTAAGCAAGTGTTTCATTAATATTATTTTACAACACTCTTGATAATATACACAGATATTTTTTTTAGTATAGAGTATAATTAATAATGTATAAACTGAAATAAACTGGCCCTAACACATTCAGAGAAATGTGTAATTTTATTTCTTAACTATCTTTGGGCTCCTGAAGTTTTATCTGAAGCTTGCTGATATTTGTATATGTGATGTAAAGATAATGACTGTAATTTGTTCAATTAAATAACTTATAACGCATTACTGAACCAACCTTTACATTATAATACACATGTGTAAAGTATTAAATCATATTTTTTGTTAGACTTTTGCATTTAGTACTGACAATTTGCTGTTTTATATTCGAAATAGTAGGTAGTTAGAAGATTTACCAAAAATTGTCATTCACTGTCACATAGAGCCAAAATGTATGGTAAAAACTATTATTTGGAAGTGTAAATAATTTGTTTGTCACGGTTGAAATTTATATTCGCTGTCTAAATTTTGGCTTTACACCACATTATACACGGTATTTTAAAACAATACTATGAAAATACATTCTGATTACTTTAGTAAAGTTGGTTGTTTTAATAAATCTTTGTTTTTTTATTAAGTGTAAAGCAGTTAATTTTGATTGATTTTCGTAGCATTACAATAACACAACCCAAACTTCACTTTTCCATTAAGTCAACTATAGGCTTATTTTCATAATATCACAGATTATAGACAACACAATGCATCTATTATACTCTACTACTACTCATTACTACTCTACTACGATTATACTCTTAGTTACCCACTTAACCTATTTATTTTCACCAGCTTTTATTAAACCTGGATGCAGATTAAAATCAATTTTGAAATTAATCAAATTATTTTAAGTAGAAGACAATAAAACTGGATTAGGTTTAATTTGCTTAAAATCTTGTTTACATCTCCTAAGCCTTAGATTAACGGAAGACTAGGAAAACCCAGAAATTATCTAATTCAAACCAACGTTTCGAGTAATCAAAGAGCAATTTAATTAAAGGAGAAGAAACAACAAAAGAAGGAGTGTGGCCTAACTAGTTTACCATCCCAAGCGGATAAAACAATTGGTTCTACTGTTGCTTGTGGCTTACAGAATCCCACAGAACACACTACCATTGTCTGATAACACAGAGAGTAACGGAAACTTTTATCAATATGGTGTTGCTATGTCACCCACACAGAGATAACTATGATAAATGTGTAGATGTGGTAAGCTGGTGGCAAATGCAAGGTTAAAAGAGGCCGCCAATCTCTTTAAAAAAGATACCTGCTTGTAAATCCACAGAGTTTATTTAGCAACTAGTTTTTTTCACCGAAGCGGTTGTCGTCGTCAACCTTAATTAGCATTAGCAGCTATTTAATAAGTTATTTTAACTTGCTTTGTTTAATCTTTGGTAAATGAGAGGTTAACTAAACATAGTTTTCACCGGTTCGATCTTCAGAAAAAGTCTGAAGTCTTTTGATGGTTCGAAACTGGTTCCAACTGTGCTTGATAATCAGGATTTTACCAATATTACAATACCTTTGTTTGAGGGGCGTTTAGTCTAAATCAAGCTAAGAGTTATTTATTATTGTTATTGTTAATTTCATGTTCTTTGTTATTTCATAGAGCATTAAATATTCTAGCAAGAGGAGCCCAGCATACTATCCTGCCGTAATTTTTTAAAACCGCTGAGGCCAGGAATAATTCCCACGTTGAAGAGCAGGACAAAGAATCAATTCTTTTACATACAGTATACACATATTTTATATATAAATAAGTCTAATCATGTGCATTTAGAAAGACCACTTGGTTTTCCAATACCCAGGATGTTTAACGCAAAACAGTTAGATATATTATCACATATTAATTCTGGTTTAAGCTCTAACATTCATTTGGTTTACGAAACAATACCAAAAAAAAATGTATAAATCAACCATACTCTTTTTCATAGTAGCTTGAATTAAAATTTTTGGATGGCCCTTTGATGATTGATTTTGTTTTGTAACAACAAATGGCTGACGTTTCAGTTTTCAAACAACATTGTAAAGCTTTTGCTATCCTATGCTTCTTTTGACCAATTTCCTACAAAGAAAATATAAACTTTCCCTGTTTACGAGTTTAACATTGAGACTATCTATTGCCAATAGATACACTCAGTAATACTTACAAAACGTTGTTGCAAACAACGCTATGAAAAAGATTAAATACTGTTAGTAAATTAAATTTGGTTTTTCATATGGCGAGAAAGTCAGTACCCTACCGAGATGTCTAAAAAATATTCCTAAAATTCTAGATAGTATTTATAAAATTACCACATACCAAAGAGTTTATAACTTCCAATACAAAATGTTATTTTCATGTTATTGATATGTGTTAGGTTAACCAATAAAAAAAAAAACTTTCCTGGTATAGTTTCGTAAGCGTTACCACAAACACTATTTCGAAGTCGTAGATAAATGAATTTATTATTCATATCTATCTGAAATTCAACTGTATAACTAATTAATTTAACTTCATGTTGACAGCATGAAACACACAATTAATTTAAATACTAAACATGTCTGAAAGGTATTTACATGCTCGGTAAATTTTATTTTAAGAATTAGTTTTTCCCTTCACAAAGTCAGGCAATTGCTGTTGATTGAGATTGTATGTTTAAAGTAGAATTTGGCAGAATTTTTATCAAACTACTATAAGCAAAAGTCATAACCTATGAAATATTAACCATAAGTTTAACCATAAACATATTCAACAGAACCGTTTGAATGATTGTGTTCATTCACGTGAAATACTTATAAATAGGTGCAACGTATTTTATACGATTTCACATTCAATCATTAATTGTATCTTATAGCACGTCAAAAATTATCACTTGACAGATAACCACAATTGAATAAATTTAAAATTAAAAAAAACCTCTTTGAAAATTCCATTGTAAAATAATATGGCATATATGTGAAACTCTAAAACCAAATCCAGGCAAAACTGTTAAACGCAGAACTAATTACACCATTCGTTTAGAGTTCAAAGTAATTATTAAATATCACCGTTCCGAGAATTCATCGGCGATATCCACTAC